TAATAATAAGCATTATTATTATAAGCTAAAATTATGTTTTATAGTAAATTTTAACCATAAAATCAAATCCATGGAATATTTTATGTTTAAAATTAAGCATACAACTTTATATTTATTAATATTTAATATTATAGTACTGTGTTAAGTACCGTTGGAACTAACAATGTATCTTAATACTTGGAAAAAAATGATACAAAAATAAGCTTGTTTTATTTTACAATATTTTATTTATAATTGGGTAATTCGATTCACTCGATTTTTTACGCTTTAATTCAAATATGATTTGACCTGGTTTCTAAATCTATGATATTCTTTTTTAAACACAATTCTGATTAAATTATAGAAGATTAGTAGTTAGATRCATAGTAGCAGTCCTTCAATAGGTACATAATAATTTGACAAATAATGATATAACTTGTTTTGAGGGTTTAGTTGTTCGAATAGTCGTYAATGTCAGTTTTAATTAAATTCACTGCTATCATAKTGATGGAAAACAGATTCTAAAACTGTAACAGGAAACATTTTAATTTGGAGAATGAAGATAAAAATAAAAATATTTAAAACTGCGTACAATGTACATAGTACATGCAGTGTAAGCACTTGAGACTTATAACAACAATTTATGATACGTGATTAAACAGCACTATAAAATGTATAAGTACTCGAAATAATGTTGATCACTCATTTATTGAAATTTAAAAATAAGATAGAATTCAAAAAGAGACGTCAACAAATTGTGACACTTGCTTTTGACTTGAAACATGTCTGATAAKTTAAAAATAATCGAATATCTGATATTTAACACATTGACAACAAGAAGAAGCTGCATACTAGGATTCCAAGTCCATGTCGACAATCGACCCAACTACCAAGCGTTATCGTTTAACACGACACAATTTTGAATTTAAAGTATAAGTTTGCTGCCTAGTTTTCTATATTTTTTATTTACAATAATACGATGGAATGTCTGTGATTCGAACTCTTAAATTTATTACGAAGCGCAAATTACTTTCGCGTGATTATTAATTATTATATAGTGACAATTCGTTTTTTATTGTACAACCAACAGTGTGTACACACTACACAGTGTCGTAGTTCGTATTATTAGACTGATGTGTTATACGCTGACACAAATAATTCACTTAAACATGTTCAATTTTGATGTATAAAAGTCATTCCATTCAAGTTAACCGTTGTCATCGTGTCTCTAGAAAAAATGTACTTTTTATATTATATTTCTAGAGGCATATACTAGACATCAATGAATTGCAAACGAATTTAGTGACTATATTTAATTGTATAGTTGTTTGTAACCGTACAATATCAATGTATTTACTACGTATAAGAGTATACCTATCATATAATATGTATTATGTATAATATTGTACACACTATACAATATATACCATGAAAACAATTTAGTAACTGTTAAATAATTGCTTTTTTTTACAAGCATAGTACCTACCTGTATCTATGAAGTGTCAAGTCATAATAGCATTCACGCCAAATTATTAATAATTACGATTATATTTAATTGTATACACCATCATTATCAACATAATATTATTTTGTGTTAAAATATATTGGTTTCGTCGTTTCGTGTATTTTTAAAAATATCACATTGTAATATCGAAGGCGTTTTGTTAATAATGATTACTGTAACAGCGATTGTGTGATATCTAAAAACCTGCTAACCATTTAGACAGGTGCTGATTGGTCTCATTAAGAGGATAGGTACTACAAATGTTTTAAATTGTTTGAACATTTTAAAATGCACTTACAGTCTTTTAATCGCATTAAAATTTAAATATAAAACAACTTTTAAGATTCACTAAATATTTTTCTTCGTTTTCATTTTAATAATAATACGTCAAATTCACTAACATTTAGTAGTTTACTATTCTTAATTAAACGTAATAATATAGTTAAATTATAGCTAAMATTAATATACTTAATAGATTATTTAGAACGTTTTAAATTTGCTATGTTATGCGAATATGTATGAGATGGATACATGTGTAGCGTCTTTTTAGGAAGTAGAGCATTTCAAAACGATTTGTGGATTTTAAGTATGCTAATTTAATATAATAATTATTTAATAATTAAATAAATATAAAAATTTAATTTATTTTTTGAAATTAAATTAGGTACTCGTTTACATTTAAAAGTTTATTTTGTGTTATTATTATATGAAATATATAATAGTAGCCTAGTAATTAGACTATTAAAATTCTCTAAGTAACTACTGCTAAGCAAATATATAATATAATATGCATGACGCCTAGGGCCTACACTATTTACTAATTAATCAGATAGAATACAATTTAAAACGTTCTAGTTTATTACATTATATAATTATTTATATGAAATAGAAAAATAAATTAGTTATCTATATTATATATTACAAAATATAATGATATTAGGCAAGTATAATGTTGATTTTAATTTTTAACGATTAAAAAAATTTAGTACATTATACTAACTAAACAAATTTTTCCCGTATCATGCATACATGTATTTTTTAATTTTTATTAATTATCCTGCGGCAACTTAGGCCATTGGGGAGGGGGGGTACTATTGGTTTATGGAATGGTATAGGTGGGGTTACACGTGGGTGAGTTTTGGCAGAATTTCTATTGGGGCACACGTAGGTTTCTGCCATGCCCGGTGGGGATGGCGGCACTTGTTCTCCGGATACCGTGACTTGTCCGGAGAAAAATGTCACCCGATGGTGGAGGATCGAATTCGGTCCGGCTGAGCCACAGCCGAAGCGTTAGACAGCTCGGCCACCTCGTCCCCATGTATTTTTTTGGTCAAATATACTTACGATACAAGAAGAAAAGTTTATTTTACGCTAATTTAACACTTAAATTGCGATATCGCCGAAATAAAGCGGATTTAATATTATAAATTATTTCCTTCGATATGTAATAATTATGGAAATCATACAAATTTATTTATACTCATTACTCGCACGCGACAACAAACGAGGTGTCTATATTTATAATGACCTGCCATAATTATTAATTAATTGTGATTTATTTACAGCGTGAAACAGACATAGTTTTTCGATGAACACATAGTTTATAGTACCTACTTCCTAGTGCCTAACTTAAAGATGTATACATCTAGACATTTATATTTATTTAAAGTTTTAATAATTACCACTTTAAATGTCAACAACTCAATGCCTGATTGTATACACTAAATTATATGTATATTATACAAGAAACATTATTATAGTTTATCGCCAATGGTTGTATAAGTATTAAATATTACGHTAATTTTTTACTTTTAGTATTGATAATAATAACATAAACGTTAAAAAGTGTGAAAAAACATATGATTTCTCATTTGTAAAATAATTTGCAGTACTTATTACTTTTAATTACTCCGTTTAATCACTAAATATTTAACTATGTAATGGTTAACGAACCAGAGGAAAAAAACTTGTACTTAATGCCAAAATGGTAATTTTTAATTTTGTTTGTTTCTTGATAAACATAATAAAAAAAAAATCAAATTTSAACACTTCATAATAATATCATAAAAAAGAAAAAGTTATCGAGTTATATTATATACTATAGTAAACAATTCACGTGTTATATGACCATTGACGTGATAACATATTTTAATAGTCTCTATACCATAAACCATGCAAATCCATTGATATACATAAAAGTGCGTCAACATAATATTAATAATTAATATATAATAGTATTTCATGTTGCGCGCTATTTAAATGTTTATATTATTTTTAGCATTTGAAGTATCTTTAGGTATTTGCCTATAATAATCTAATGTTAAACTTAAACTTATTAAACAATACAATAAATTAACCTTGCCTGCCGATTAATGCAGAGATCGTTTATTTGTACACAATATGTGTGTGTGTGTGTAAGATAATCGTGTTGTATATTTATTGTATATATTATACCATCGATAAAATAATAATATATTATATTGACTACAGTTTAACGCTATTGGTGATGAATACGAATATTATCTAGATTGCTAAACGACCGTGACTGCCAGTAAGTACAAATAGGTTCGGCCGTCAACGCCGCACGATAATTATGTTCTACAGTATCATAAACAGACAATTTCACACGTTTTATTATTTCTACCGTGTACACCCAAAATATGAAATATTAAAAWTAATAGATGACTCATGAGAAGCATAACTATTGTATTCAAACATTTGTTTCAACTCTCRTATCATATTTCACTCATTAGTTTGTAAGAGTGTTGAACACGTCATTCTTATAGAATTATAAAATGGTAAATAGTATTGACGAAGAAGTGTTACAATAATTTCAATGTATTATACATAACAAAAACATTTTGTGTCTATTGTATTATTTATTTCTTAATTAAAACAAAAACATGTATCTCGTTACTAAATATTTTTTCTCTACAAAGAACATTTAGGAATCATAGATAATATGTTTTTGGTCACAGTGCAGTGAAAAAATATCTAGAAGCGCGCTACATTTTGTTATGAATTTAATAAATTAAGAATATTATGGATTGATATTTGCGTTTCTGTGGCGATGTAATTAGTGACTATTAGTTGTGAATTAGATTTCAAAACAAAATAGATACCCGTTACCGAAAATAAATCCCAAGAAGACTGCTATATATTACGTATATATAATATATATATATATATATATATAATATATATGTCATATAGGTACAATATTAAAAGTTTTTTTACAATTAATATGGGAAAAAATATTTCAAGTTAAATTTGAACACTAACCTAAGTACTTATCTACATTAAGAAATATTTTTGGTTTTTTTGTTAATTTAGAAAAAAATTAAAAAATACRAAGTTGAGTAAGATTTACCACCTCTAAGTAACACTTCTTGAATTGATTTATTTGAGTTTCATTATACGTTTAGGACAACATGAATAACATTATGTTATATTTTATTTTATTATTACTACTAGGTATTTTAAATTAAATTCCTATTACTGATTGTATTATTCACAGTGCCTGTGCATGATGGATTTGGGAGCGGCGATATCAGTGCCAACAGGCAAGACGACGCCTATTGAACCCGCTGTGCCTGAGCCAAAAATAATTCCCGTGCCTGGTTCCTATCTGGCACCACCGGCTCCTGTACATGAATATTCGGAAGAAAGACCAGAACCACCGCCATTAGATCCGTCTTATGTGCCAATTCCATACAACTTTATTGAGTACTTGGCGCCTCAAAGTCTTCTACTGGTAATGACAATTGTTTTATTTCTACAGCGATACATGGTAAATTGGTAACGCGATTGATGCATCATCATTGGTTTGAAAATTACTCAACAGATAGTTTATAACGGTTGATTATAAATATCTTTCAGTGAATTATTTTGCTTATGAATGATCCATCAATGCCTATTAAAATTACATAATGACAATTATGACCAACTTATATATKTATTAGCTATTAAATATTACACGTAATACGTAAAGTCACTAACTGCAGATATATTATATTTATTTATAACACATCTGCAGATTACRGTTAAATGTTTTTAATGATGAGGTCCATCAAGCCTACAAAATGAGATTTAAAAAAAGAAATTGGCCAAGATACGCCTTAAATTTTAATCAGCCACTTATTTTGTAAATAATATTAGGCACCTACTTTTATATGTGCTACCAATGAGTTTGGTACCAACAAAGTTTCCTTTCACAGTCTCGCCTACATCTTTGCACCATTTTTTTTTAAAGAATTTTCAATTACTTTTATACAATTTACTTATTGTATTCTTATTTGACTATAAATAAAAATATGACATATTGTGTAATTATGTTACCCATTATTTTTCTTGCTATCATCATTAAAATTAATTTGAATATAGTTAAATTGTATTTTGACCTTTACRTTACCAACCTGTTAACAATAAGCACACTATATAGATTAATAATTTTAGAACGACTCAATCGTATTAATTTTCTTACACTTTCTTTAATTTTAAATTTCTATGTCTACTGTATTTAAAATGATTGGTGTTCTATAATATTTAAACTACTTAAAGCAGAACAATTATTTTTTTAATCATATTGGTTGTATCTTCCTTAGTACAATCCTCAATTACATCAATCATCAATTAACCAAACCACAAGTTATTTTTAATTATATGAAAAGTTAAAAAAGTTAATTTTATCATACTCTACCTACCTAATATTATGTTATGTACTTCATAGGTACCAATGAGAATTAAGTTCCAAAAACCTTATTCAAAATATGAAAAGTATCCACTCACAGCGATTAAGTATCAAAAACTTATCAAAAATGAAAATATGAGACGGAAATTCTATTCGAATATCCCACAGCAAAGTTAAAATCCATTTAATTGATGAGTGTGATAAATRCTCTCGTCGTTAAAAATGTTTGCCATGTCATAAACATATATTATATTATGTAATTAAAATAAAATGTTGTACATTTTTACCTCTTTAAAATAATTGTTTTTATCTCTACTATAAGTATTATAGTCTATAACTAATATTGTTTTGTAATATAATTTATATATAATATTTTAATATATCTTATATAATAACGTGTAATATAAATATAATATATAACGTATTAACGTATAATAAATGTCATATTTGTATTATATACATATCGTCAATATTTTAATGTGTAATACATAATCCTTATTAAAAATCTAACGGTGTAGTCTATTTCACGAGAATCATTATTGAGTGTTAATCGTAAAGATTAGTTATTGTTTCTTAAGAATCTGATATTTACAATTTATAGTATAAATATTTTATAACAATTATTATAATATTAAATTTTATTAATTTTCATTAATTATTAAAAATTGTACGTAACTTTCAAACTTTATTATGAGGTGAGTAAGAGCAATATAGTACAAATGTATATTTTATAGTAAGCAATAAGTATGGAGAAGTCTGTAAATATATCTAGATAGTTTTATCTCAGCATTTTAATGCTATGAAATCTCGTAGGTACACAAACATTTTCACATTTTCTGAAGGTTTTAATCAAAATAATATCATAACACAAAAAGCTTACATTTGAGAAACACAATACCACGAATAGACCATTAAGCCGACACATTACTGTACCGCTTTTTTGACAATTTGTCATATAATATATGATGTCATCGGAAATCAACCAGAAATAAATTAGCTGCTGGAAGAGAATATGAATATACTCAAACGAGCAAATCTAGTCTAGTTCAGTGACGAAKGTCATAAAGAAGAATTATCTGAAGGTGGGTTACACACGTTTTATTAAGTATAATCGAATAGAACATAAAGACAAAATATCCAAATAACATATAAACATAATTTAAAACAAAAACTGAAAACTATAGTAATTTATTGATTCTATATAAATGAGCTAATCAAATAATATATTTCTTTAGCTTGTGAAAATTCCAATGCAAATTTAAAAACATATGATTGGATGACAAATAATTGAATAAGTATTGCCAGTAGGTATATGGATGTTCATTAGATAAAGTATACGTTCGTTATATTTTAATCTAATGTGGTCTGTTTAAGAGTTTTTATTTGAGATTATGAAAAAGTAGGTGCGTCATGTCGCAAGATGGAAAAAATATTAATGATAAAAAACAACATCATGAATTTATTTTATTAAAGACGTCGTCCTCCAAATTGTACGCATTTTTTATCACTCAGTGAAATGCCGGATGAAACCTGTACAGTGTACATTGAGTTATTGAAGTATCATCTTATTAGGTAATTTTATACTCGTTATACTTCAAATTTCAATGTAAATAAAAATCGTACAATTAATAACTATTTTCTTAGAAACAAATCAAATATATTTAGTGTATGGAGATTGGAGATTATATAACGAAATTGATTTWAAAATATTTCTAAAAACCAGGGGCTCTCACATTTTGTTACAATAAACAATAATAGCTATTGTGTTTGTAGGTAGATAAAAAAACTATTCTATCTTAACTGACACAGCCTCCGTAAAATGTTTAAATAAACACAATAGAAGACCTCGGAAGTATTACAATAATAATTATGTAACTTTTAGGAAATCAATAATTATTGGATTAAGTCGAGATAAAAGTGWCAGATTTCTATGTATCAAAAACTTAAGATGATTCTAGTGGGAATGTTTTAAGTGTTGAAGTCAGTCTTGGAAATTCATCAAGTCATTCTCACACTCCTAAATAATATAAAATGCATATATAATTCGAGAAAAAAAATGTTGTATATTGAAATTTTATAGTTATAACGCCTATATGAAATAAAATAAAATAATACAAAACCACCTGGTGAGCTAATTTTATTCTGATAATTATGTTAAAACTAAAAGCTTGAACTTATTTATARAATTGATCAAGCTGATAGTAGGAGCCTAACAACTTTTTCGGATAAGGTTCGATACATCACTAAACAAAAAAATATGAATTAGGTACAGGACTAAACTTAACTAACCTTAGTTAAAAACACAATACGCAAACAATTTCATGATTTTTCAACTACAAAATTACTTGCAAATTTTCGCGTTTTCGTAAAAATTTGAACTATAAACGCTTAAAAAAAAATTTTGACTAAGGATTTTTATTTTTTTTAGCTACAATAATAATAACTCATAAGGAACCTTGTATTAAATTTTCAAGTTTTTTTGGTAGTCCAACATTTTTTACCAGCACTTCAAAAAAAAAAATTGAAAAGTTCAGTGGTCTATAAATAACTCAAAAAAAGTCAAAAATTTGTGAAAATTAAACTGTATATAGATAACACTAACATAAACATTTGGTGAAAATTTCAAGTATTTACAGTGATTAGTTTTTGAATTACAACCATATAAAAAAATCGATTTGGTCGAAAACGGGTTTTGCGTAAAWATTCCCGTTTTTCTGTCATTTTTCTCGATTTTTTTGAAAACTGTTGGAAAATGTTTACTTTTGACCTCTATAATGCACCAAGGATATTCACTTTTCAGAAACCACCCCCAAAGTTTGTAATTGAAGCATTATTTCGACTAGTTATGCTGTACACAGACACAAAAAAAAACACACACATCATTGTAAAATCAATACATTCATCACTCCGTTCAGAATCTAAAACTATAATACCTCTTATATTATAAGATCAGAGGTGAACGCAGGAAAGAATTGAGGGTAGGGGTTTGAAAAATTTTAAAATATTCATAAATATCATACAGTTCATACTGTATTACACTATTATACTGATATATGATAAAAATCAATACCAACCTTACTAATTCACCTAATATCACAGGAATATAATATAATCGTATTAGTAAAATCTAAATATTGTATAAATATTATACTTATAAACACCGAATACAGATCAAGCATAACATCATTCAATATTGTACCTKAATTAATTGCATAATTTAGTATTCGCGGTGTATGCTGCTTTACACAGAACATATTTAAATACCAAGAGACGAAACTTTCTCTTTTGACTTTCAGACGAGACGTCTTATACGTTATGATAATGTTTAATGAATCGCAAATGATAAAATATACAATTAAAGGTATTGTTAGAACGATCCGTGATATCGCTAAAATTGTGTATAATTCATAACTATACGGTATACATCAATACAATATATTGTATTCATAGTGTTTACCGTGTATGATATAGGTGCGCCTATTATGGAGATAATATGTTCAATAAGCACAGCTATAACATTATGTCTACGTGCATACAGTGCGCCCTCGAATACAAATGTGACCACACACGTGGGTACGAAAATAATAATATTACCTTTATATAGTATAGGTACATAGATTGTGCGGATCACATATTATAACTATATCGTAGGTCGTAGAAGTGTAAGTATGTGTACACTGTACCAACCTATATATTTTTTAACACAATACGTAAGCATAATAAATATATATATAGCAGTGCATACTGCAGTGAAACGTGCGCTGTGTACGACTACTCGACGATATCGAATATATTATAATGAAACATATCGCCAACCAAATTCTAATTATCGTATGTAAGCCGAACCGAAATCCCAAATACAAATAGAACATAACGGTACGGTTTGTCGCTTTTTTTTATTCAATATTCAAAATGATATAATTTTCAATATTTTCAATTCATTCAAAGCTCGTATACCCATACAATGTCGATACGTTTGCCGATAGAGCTACAACGATTTCGCGTACACCTACACCTACATGCATTGTTTCGAACAATTATTTACAGTCTACCTACTCTTCACTCCAAACGTCCAAATATCCAATACAATGCACTATTAATTTTAGTATCGAGCCGTGCAAAAGCAAATTCATTCATAATGCTGAATAGGTACTGATTACTGAGCGTACTTATATAGCGATAATGTATAGGTAC